GATGAGGATGGAGAAACAGGTAGCCCTCCAGATGTTGTTAGAAGCAGGACGTGACCCACTGAAAAGAGTAAATCTGTGCAAGAAACACAGCTGCCGTGTGTTTCTGTGAGGTTCCCAGAAGACAAGTTTCCACGTTGCTCTGCCTCGTGTTTGAATAAGGAGCCATAGAGATTGAAGGTGTCTCAGTGCCAGAGTACATAGTTTGCATGTGCATCCAATCCATGGCATCTCTCATAAAAAGATCAGTAAGAGGTGATGGAAAAGATCCTCTGTGAAACCATGGGTAGTGGTGGTAGCAGCAGCAGCAGTAGTAATCATCATCATCATTATCTTAGAACTGCAAAGCTGGAAGTGACCCTATGAGTCCAGCCCCTGTCCAGGAGGCCCCGTGTGGGAATCGAACTCCCAACCTCTGGCTCTGCAACCAGGTATCTAAACCACTGAGCTAGCCAGAGTGTGGCAGGCAATAGTGGCTTTGAGGGGGAAATAATCCAAGCCAATTAAAAAAAACAAAAAAAACAACCCACAGTCTCCTTGATTTTGTGCATTAGATGAAATAGGGCAATGGAAACCAGCAGGAACGGATTCCTTTCCCCTTCACCCTACGAAAGGTCATGTTTGTTTTTGTTTGAGGAAAGCATGGCCAATTTTCATGAGTGTCAGAGGGGAGAAGGAGCTGAATGTGAGGGAGTGTAAAAGAAGGCAGAGCAGGGCGGCATGCCCCTCATTTGAACCCCGTGATGCAGCACCAATGCCGCGCTGGTGTGTGGGAACTGTGCCGTTCCTCGAACACTGTTGGACTTCAGTTCCCAGCTTCCTTAGCCAGGGAGGGATGATGAGAGGAGCCGCCGTGCAGCATGTTCCACATCCCTGTTGTGGCAAATGTGTGAGCACTTGCTGTTCTTCCCTGAAACTGGGACAACACAGGCTAGTCGTTCCATTCACAGGCCTGCTCAAGGCCCTCTAACTGGCTTATTATCTAATCTGCTTCCCAGCTAGGCTTGTAGGGTGAAACTATCTTGACTTGCAGAATTTTATATGGGGCCCAGATTACACATTCCATTTATAACTCTCCCCTCTACTGTTTTCATTATTAGCTCAGCAGTTTAGGCGTCAGCGGTTGGGAGTTCAATTCCCCCACTGTGCCTCCCTGACAGGGGCCTGGCTCAATGATCCATAGGGCCCCTTCCAGCCTGCATTCGAAGACGACGACAACAACAACAATCATTTCCTTTCCACAAAATAATCAACAGAGAAATGGAAGAAGCAACAGCTCTACCATATATTGTGACTGGTAGTGCTTAAGAGTCTATCTGAGAACACCCTTGAAACTTGAGAAATTGAATTTTAGGTTTTACTTAATGTTTCACAAAAAAGGGGAAGCGAATCTTGGAGGTCTAGTCTTCACCAGAAGAGATTCTTCTCATCATTCCGGCACACAAGTTAAAGAAAATGGGTGTGGTCAAAAGCTCATCTCTGGACACAATTAAAATAAAGAATGTCTGCCAGCTTCTTCATTCTAAACAATCCATCATAGCTCGCAATACAGGGGGCAACTGGTTTAGTTCTCCTGGGGGGGGAGGAAACCTTGGAAATATGAAGTTGTAAGCAAACACAGCAAGTAATTTTCTTGCAGAGAAAAAATACTAACAGCAGAGAATTGGGAGGAATCAAATGGAGGCATTTCATGGCCAACATGGGTCTAAGAATCCAGACTGTGTGTGTTCTGTGCTGTCAAGTTGGAACCAACTTATAGTGACCCTCATGCGGCTTTCAAAGTGAGATATTTATGAAGTGTTTTTACCAGTTTCACACCCTTAGTGAGCTTCCATGGCTGAGTGGGGATTCGAACCATGTTCTCCCGAGTTCTAGTCCATCACTCTACCTACTACACCAAACTGAGAATCAGACAACCAGACTGCTACTCCTCAACTGTCTGGAGGAGAAGGTTAACCCTCTTCCCCTTACCTCTTTTCCACAATCTATGCCATGTGGTGGGAGAAATCAACTGCACAAAAGTAAAAAGGGGGATGCGTGGGCAGAAGAAATACCATTTCAGTACTTGCTGGCAGAGTGGTCCCTTCCCCAGCTGCTCTGCTGTTACACCAAGTTCCCACATTTCGTATCTGTTTAATCCCGTTCCTTAGCAACAGACTGCAGTTCCTTTATTTCTCAGTATGGAAGGCTCCGATGCAGAATGCTGATCTCCCCCTTTCAGTCATTCATAAAAAGTTCTAGGTTGCCTCACCAACACAAGGAGAGGATTCAACCCAGTGCCCCAGTCAAATCACCCATGGATCTTATTTCCTGTTGTGAGAAACAGATAACAGGACAGGGATGAATTCAAAAACAGGATCAAAAAGGGGAAAGTCCTCGACCCTTGTTCCCCCACAAAATGGTTTAGGTCTAGCACAGTTAGTACCCAACAAAACATCTCAGGGCAATCTGAAATCAAGAATCATTAAGCATTGCTGTTGTTGTCACAGCATTGAGCAGCTCACCCCCAAACAAATTCTTAAGTGTAATTTCATATAAGGGAGTGTGCCAGAACCCGCTAGCAGAATATTCAAAGTACATGACCAAATTACAAGGCCTAGGAGTCCACAGAAAGAGCAAAGGCGATGGAAGTGGTATCGAACTGCTTTAACTGTGTAGCGTAGATATATGGTCTGTCGATGGGCTGACCATTTGACTGCTGAGACAAGACCGTGGGATCCTTCTCAGTGGTTTCAAGGTAAGTGTGAACACTGAGTCAAAGAGGAGGGTAGCTGGTGTGTGTAGGCAGCTATAATAGTAGAATACAAGGTAAGAATGAGATAGGACAGGCAACAAAGAATAGGTGCCAAAGAAAAAGGCTGTGGACCTGGAGTAAACTCCAAATCACACACAGGAGGTAATGAAGCTATGCGAATGAACAGGAAGTTTACTTATGAGCAACACTTGTAGCCATCTGAGAAACCAGGAATCACCCAAGAGCTTGCACACTACAGATGGGTTTGGTGGTTTGTGCCAGTTCAGCTGTCGGCACAACAGACGTTCTCTAGTTTTGATGTGCTTCCGAGTCGTGTCTCCTCCAGTGGGCCCCCACTCAGTGGCAGCACCCCGGCTTGCCTGCCCCACCTCCTCTAGGTGTTGCCTCCAAGTGGGTGCCCACTGGAGGAGCCAGGACTCAGAATCACTTCAGAACCATGGCCAACGGCTGAACTGGCAGTTCATACCCATCTCTACACAGCACTCAGAAAACAGGAGGAAGATGCTACCATACTGTGGACTTTGCACCATGAGCAGTCAAGTCTTCAGCCCCTTGAGAAAGGGTCAGCAACCTTTGGCTCTCCAGCCATTTCAGGCTTCACTTCCCAGCAGGATGAGCAAAGGTGAGAGACTGTGGGAGTTAAACTTCAAAATATGAAAGCAAGAAGGTTTCCCACCCCTGCCCTACAAGGTGACTGACTATGGAAAAATCTGAGAGGAAAGGCTCTCAGTTGCTTGAAGAGGAAGAACCGTAACACCCCAAAACTTCAGACTAATTGTAGAATTCGATTACTTAGGATACTAATACATTTTATTTTATACTTTCATTAAAAAAAAACCCAAACAAACTGCAGTTTCCCAGAGAAAGAAAGTGCTTGGGTGGAAGGGGATTTGCAAAATCTGGGCTCAGGATTGTGCTATACTTTCAACGTGGCTGGGCCGTCCCCGTCAGCCCTAGCCAATGAGGAGGCATGAATGGAGCTGCAGTCTGGCAGCATCTGGAGGGCTAAGTGTTCTCTACTTGTGTTTGTACAGTGAAAGCTAAGCAGCTGAAAATAAGAGTTTCTTCCCAGTACATTGCTGTCATCATTGTACATTTATTGTCTAAGACAGACAACCAAATGCTTACCAGCATTACCAGCTTTGGAACAGTGCGGCAAGAGGAAGAAAAAATTGAGCATCCGAATCTTGTTTTAGCATTGCATCACCTTGTTGATCTCAAAGATCAGCTGCTGATTTGTTTTTTCTGTCTGCCCTGCAGCTGGGCAAAGCATAGAAGGAAGCTCCTTCCTCATCAGGTGACCTCGAAGCATCACACGGCTATGGTTTAGTCATTGTGAAAGGGTAGCACTTTGCACAGATAATCCCTTGCAACAGTACCAATGTCCTAGATCAAACGCAGCCCTCAGAGTGTGTTTGGACTGAAACCTCGGTCAGTCCAAGCTAGCTCTGAAAAATGGTGGAGGTTGAAGTCCAACAATATAGAGTCGCTTAGAGATTCCCCCCCGGCCCTGATCTACAATCATACTTCGTCCCTGTTTCAGGATACAAAACTATACTTTCCCTATGATGAAGGAGGCTGAAAGAAATCAACTTGGGCAGAAAACAACCCCAAGCAAGCTAAACCTTGCATGGCCATCATCCAAGTTCTCTCCCTACACCAATGACTACCAAGAGTAAAACAAAGAGTAAAACAAACCATTTATGTGTTTAATTCTTGCCTGTTCCTGCTGCAGTGTTCGTGCCCAGCTAGCCTGGACTTTTGACCCCAGCTAATATCTCCTGTAGACTTAGCCAGCGATGTCGCTGGCCACTTCAATCTGGAACTTCCCTGAGTTGCACACACAGGGTTCGCTACAGTTCAAGTACCAAAGCTACCTCGGGTTGTAACAGATCTAGAGCAAACCTATGCAGGTGATGGGTAACAGATCTTGTCCCTTAAATGTAGACCGGCTTCAGCAAATTAGAGAATAATACTGAAAAGGACTAGGATGACAATTTTTCATCCTGCGCAGACATATTTAGACGAGTGTCCCGGTATGGCAGGAGAGGCCATCCCTCAACTGAATCAACACAGTCGTTTAAAAACAGCAGTTCTCGAAAATGGCATTGCATTGTCCCTCAAGTTTTTTGTTCCACCCCCTTTTCAAAAGTTTGCTCAAACGTCTGTGTTCTTAAGAACAAGGTCAATGAAACTGGTCGTAAGAGGCCACCCGTGGTCTGTTAGCAAAAAGGGTGGTTTTTGCTTGCCAGCCTATGGAGGAAGGAAAAAAGGACACGTGCCTTTAAGAAGCTGTGATGCAAAACCAGTTTTGAACTGGATCTCAACACCACAGAATGTTTAAGGTGCCCTCTGAGATGTAACATAGAGCAAATTTGCTTATTCTTCAGCTATGTTGACTGTGAATCGTCACTGCAAAGCCCAGAAACATGGTCGGTCCCAGTTCAACAGGCCTGATCAGGAGGCTGCAGAATGGCGCCACAGGGTGCCACAGCCGCTTTCCATAATCGACTGATCCACAGGTACAATACCATCCGTTACAAACCCTGGTTGACCGTTTTGGTGGCAGCAATATTCCCAGTCCTGCTGCAACTGCCACAAACAGTCATCTCCCCAGCTTCGGACAATGGACCTCTCAAAGATCATCAAGAAGGGCTGGGCCTTCGAAAACCAGTCTAAAGAGCAGCGAGACCGCAGGGTTAGAGAGTGGAGTCCATGATAGGATGCCCGTTCTGAGGCAGTATCCTCTGCTCTGTGGTACTGGCCTTGACTGAAGCTGGAGAGTACTTGGGCATCCTGTAGCAGGCAAAGCAAAGGATCTTCCGGAAGGTGCTGCGCATTTCATTGTCCCGGTAGGAGTAGACAATGGCATTGATGAGTGAATTGATTTCAGCCAGCAGCAGAAAGTACTTCTCAACTGCTAGCACATTGCAGCTTTTACAACCAAGGCCATCCAACAGGAGAACCACCTGCCCAGGAGTCCAGCAGATAACAAAAGCACCTGAAGACAAAGAAGAACAGAAGGAATCTGTTAGAATGGGATAGGCAGCTTTCAGACGTCTAGGAGCCACATACACCCACTGCCAAATCTTGGAAGGCCACTTCCAGTTTCAATGAAGGACAACCCTTTCCTCTCCCCCCACCCACCCCTGGGACCTAAACACAGCACAAGACAACAAAATGCACAAAACTGTCCCATGCACAAGGTTCACAGAAAGGGGTTGTAGTCATTTTTGTCCAAAACATCTAAAAATCTGTAGGAAAAATGATGATCTAAATAGAACAAACACATAAGTAAAATGATACAGATCCATGATTCTAATAGTAGCATTGACCATTAACGAACCACCGTTTCAACCCAGACCCATACCCATCAGTCAATCCAGGCCGGGATCCTATTATGCTAGAAAATGTGACACCCCCCCATCACCTTTCTTCTTTCCTTGTTGGAATCATCATGCATTATACCTAGAAATACTTTTAAAGGGAAACTCACGTTTATACTTAATCCTCTCCAGTGCTGAGTTGAGAGGAAAATATTTCCAGATGTTTTCAGCAACAGCAAGCAGTGGCAAAGTGCTGATTCATAGACTCAAAAATCCTTTATCTGCTCAAAGCAACTTTGCAACATTTTTAAAAGGTGTTTGGTTGTGGGGTGTTGTAGTTGTTTAATAAGTGGACTATGAACATTTGTCCACAATAGCCTGAAGACATATTTTGCAGCACTCTTCCTAAAGCTATAAAGAAGGCCTGCATCTTGCCAATGCCTGGGTACACAATCTGTGAGCCTTGCATATATTACCCTTGGATTCCCTAAAAAGGTTTCCCATTAGCAACTGTGCAAACAGAATGCCGGGCTAGTTGATATGATCAGACTTTGGAAATAATCATCATCTTAGAACTGCAGAGCTTAAAGGGACCCTGTGGATCATCAAGTCCAGCCCTTCTCAAAGAGGCACAGTGAGGAACTGAACTTCCAACCTCTAGCCCCACAGCCAGAGACCTAAACCACTGAGCTACATAGCAGTTCTTTTATTTTCTTAAATTCCTATATTATGGAAGTAAGCATATAAAGAAGTGGTTGTGGTTGTTTTTCTTAAAGGATCTCTAACTTTGGTCAAAAGTAAAACCATCTCGCCTCAATTCCATAAATATGAATAAAGAAACTTTAAAAACAAAGAAACACATTTTAAATTCTTGCCCCCCTCCTCTTCTCTGGCAATTCTGTTGTCCAAATATATTACTCAACTCTACCCCATTCTCAACTGGAGATCCCTGCCAAATTACTGGGTATCCTTCCCCCTTGGTTTGAACCTTCCCTGTTGCTACAATCCACTTCTTTCATTTTTATTTTTTATTTTTTTTAAAAAGGAGCCCATCCAAAGGTCATGTGTCCCAAGCATCATGCTGCTGGAATTAACTTCTAGCTGAACTTTTAGGACTGTCCAGTTAGGAATGGAAAAGAATTAATTTTGAATTCCTTACAGGGCACCTCAGACAAAGTAGGGACTTGTTTCTCCTGAGACTCATTATGAAAAAAAAAGCCCTTTGCCTTGAAATGCTGAACATCTGCAAGGTGCACAGGCCATTTTGGAAAAATAAAGTTGGTGAAAAGCCACATGCACACTTTAAAACTATGAGTGGCTCAAATGCATTCAATTGAAAAATATACATAAAGAACGTCAAGGAATGAAGGAATCAATAAAGGTGTACGTACAAATTTGAATGCAAAAAGAAAAAAGAAAAAACAAAGCCTTGCAACCTGACAGGCCACAAAGATGAGAACAATAAAGGTTGTGGGGTTGAGAGAAACACAGCAAAATTGAGAATTTCACTTCTTGTCTCTGGCATGACCAGAATTTCAGAGTAGCTCAAGGCAAGACTTCACCAGGCTGAGCTTCCTCAGCCAAGTGTGTGCCTTCCTCTGCAGGCACGGGGGAAGCTCAGCCTAGTGAAGTCTTGCCTTGAGCTACTCTGAAATTCTGGTCATGCCAGAGACAAAAGGATGCAGCTGTTGCAGAGAGAGCAGGGATGCACCTGCTGGAATCAAGGGCACATGAGCCCCATCCATCAGGAAGCAACACGCTGAATTAAGACAAGCTCTGCTGCAGCGCTTGCTGGGCACTGTGTTTATTGTCTTCCATCCCTGAGAGGCCAAAGAGGATCAACTCTCTCACAGTGGAGCAGATGGAAACACAAGGGCACTTCTGATTAGGAAGAATACTACACCTGAACTGAACCTCGGACACCCAGGTCGTTTCCCAAATACACTCAGCTTTCAGACTAAATTGCCAGTGCTGGACACCAGCGGCTGTGAGGAAATCTGCACTGTGAGGATCACCTACTGGGTTACCGAATAGATTCATGAAGTTACAATGCATCCTGCCATTAAAATGGGTAGAGCTTTCAAAGCTGTCACTTATTTTTAACGTAAATACTCAGAATCCTGGTAGTGGGTGGGTGATCCAGTCTGCGATGTTGCCTTTTTGGACTATAGCTCACGGAATAGCCAGTGGTCATGCTGGCTGCAGGATTCTAGGAGTTGTTAAAAAAAAAAGACGGGAAAAACCCATAAAATGTCCCATCCCAAGGGTTGACAGCCATTCTATGGTTGGTTGTGTTGGAGGAGGTGTGACAAGTGGCTACCCAGGAGAAGGCCTCTCTGTAGAATGACCCCCCCCCCGGGATCTCTAGACCCTACATTATGGCTTTTCTAATGCTAGGCAACTACTGTATTTCTTTAATTTGCTCAGGTTTGGGAGGATTCTGTGGGCTCTGTCAACACTTTCCAATCAGAACACTGACCCATTTTACATTATAGGCTCTCATTACAGAGAGCATGGAATTAGTCTTAGGCAGTGTACAACCACCGTCATCATCCAGAAAAATGTCTTAACTGAAAACTTTCCACCATGTTCCCTTCAGAAGAAAGATCTGGATAATTCCTCCTTCCTTTCCAACCTCTCAGCTGAAAAGCACTCCAACAGCCTTGAGCAAAGAACACAAGGAGAGCATCTTGTGACGAAAGCCATAACCGCCCTCAGTAACTAAGCCATGATCTATACAGGACAAAGGCCTACACAAGCTCTAGGAAAGGGTCTCTGGTAGCGTGTCACATAGCAGGATTGAAAGAAGCCCAACACAAGGCTATATCAGAGTTGCAAACTTTGAATCAGAGAGGGGGAAATTTAATCTTTTCCAAATGCAATCCCTGGGATACTTCAGTCAGCCTGCCCAGTTGCAAGATGCCTTACCCAAACTCAGGTCTTCTCCCTGACTGACCCTCAGCAACCTTGCAAGAAAGCTCTGCCTGGAAACCATCAACAACATGAGCAGACAACGTTGGGTTTTCCTGTGTGAAAGCCAGGCATTTAGAACAATGGATAGGCATTCCTGAATGCTGATTGTTTGTTTGTTTTACAGAAGTGAACAGGGCCCACTTGGTTTAGATAAAAACATGGGGGAGGCAATGAAATCTCATTCAATGTATTCGCGAAGGCTTTCACGGCCGGGATCTAATGGTTGTTGTGGGTTTTTCGGGCTCTTTGGCCGTGTTCTGAAATGTGTTTCAGAACAAGGCTAAAGAGCCCGAAAAACCCACAACAACTATCAAATCTCATTCACTTTCCTTTTTGCTTTTCAACTCCTTGGCATTCAAGCCACTGTGTTTGTGGCAAGATCTGCACTACAATGTGCAGTTCACAGGAAGACTACAGGAAAGGAGAGGAAGACGAGACTGTATCCATACACCTTTTTAGAAGATTGCCTATAAAATGGGGGTCCTCTGTCTAACCCGTCTAACATTTGATGGGTCTGATCCCCTGGAGGTACGGCAGAACACCTGAAACATTCATGACATCTGGATGGGAAACATCAAAGTTATACACATCTGAAGACTCTCTTGACATGCTGAAATAAGTGGAAAAACTAAAACAAAGTAACTATAAACTAACAGAGGGATGAACCCCACTCCACTCTTATTTGAGATGTCACTTAGCTATAGATCTTACAAGATGGCCTGGGCATGACATCTCTAAACTAATCTTCTGCACAGGATTTTTGTGACTATTAAATGACAGTCTATACTCCTGGGATCAAAAGGATAGATTGCTTAGCTATAACTGCAGGTCTTCTAAAAGTCATCTGTGAATCCACACATATGGGTTCCTTTTGCCCCTGAGCAAATGTCTTTTATACTTTCTAGAGCCTAAGTAAAGTGTTAAGACATGCCCTCTGTACTATGTATGCTTCCCCACCCTGTATGGAGCCCTCAGTCCCCCAGTCCACAGCTCATTTAGAAACAGTTGTCTGGCAGACTTGAGGGGAGGCTGGCTGGGTTGTGTGAATTCAAAGATGATCATTCAAAGAATGACAGTTACAGGCAAACAACCTATCCTTCTTCGTGATCTCTGAAATTACACATATGGGTGATTGGCAGCTTGTCAGATGTCATGCCAAGACAGAGGAAGTCACTGTCCTGCCAAATGTAGCATCAAGCTTAGCCCTGACATCCAGTCTGTAATGTTTGATGAATGTCAAAGGCTGTGACCAGGTTGCGGCCTTGCAAATGTCTCTCAGTTGAACTTCTCTGAGAAGTGCTGTTGACACAGCTATTGCTCTAGTAAACTACCCTTCCAAAAACCTAGGCAGTGGCCTCTTTGCTAATTGGTAATGTAAGGTGATTATGCTAAAAATCACAATATCCGACAGTCTCTGAGACATAACATTTTCACCCTCCTTTAATCCCTGGTAATTAACAAAACATCTGGTGTACTTTTAGAAGTCCATTCTTCTGGACATGTAAAAGGCTAATTCCCCTGTGGGTATCCAAACTGTGAAGTGACTCTTCCACCTCTGACGTTGATGGCGGGAAGAAAGTAGGAAGCACCAAGGGATGATTAAGGTGAAACTTGGAAACTGCTTTGGGTAAGAAAGAGAGAACTGGAAATAATGTCACTTTATTCTTACAAAACAGAAGGAAAAGTGGATTTCACCAGAGGG